GCCTGGCACTCACCAGACCAGGCTATCCAAGACTCAACCATCGAAATCCGAAACCCAACTTTACCTTTCTTGCCGATAGGATGAAACAAGCTTCAGCCCTAAAGCAACTCTCACGAGTTCTCTGCTGCAATCGTATACCCGCACCAAACTGGCTCTAGTGTCCTCGGGTTATGAAAACCCCGATACACTGCTGATACTTCCAAACACCCTTCCGGATGCATTTCACCACACAAAAATTCTATCTAGAATTCCAAAATTCCAACTGTGCATTCTTGCCGAGCTTCAGCAACCATCTGAACCGAATGTGCTCCATACTACTGCCATAATCTCGCTGCTCAATGACCATAATTGGACCACTCCCATCATAACCCTGCGCTGCTACTTCCACTTCTGTGGACTTACATTCCCTTAGCATGACTGCTAACCATGCAACATACATGTCCTGAACCTGCTCGCAAGGACTCTCGAGTCCATGCACCACCTTCACTACTCACAATCCATACTCGGGGCCAGACCTTCTAATGCTAACACATCACAACACACCCAACCCATTTCCTCGAACCGATCTGATAATACCTACAGAGTCTTCAGCATGACTGGGCTACCTCACCAGGTCTTCAGTCAATCTGGACCACTCTCCAAAACCTTCAGCCAATTTGGCCCACCCTCCAGGGCCTTCAGTCTGACTGGACCGTTCCCGAGCCTTCGGCCTGACTGGTACACCTACCGGCCTTTAGTCTATCTGGACCGCTCAACTAGCATTCATCATTCTGAGTTATCTTTCCAGGAAATCCTCCCCTGCATACTGTTCTAGCCCCCTTGGGGTTCCGAACTCTATCTCCACCATACATACTCGATCCCAGCCTGATCCTAGGCCCTACACAATCAATGCCATAGGTCTGTATCCCACCCCGCACGCCTGCTACTCACCCATACCAGCCTGCTCTCGGCTGAAAGAAATACCGTTGAAACGAGAGTAGCTAAACAACCTCTCAAGTCTATCGATCATCCGGAGAATTTCCAATTCTCCCCCACTTAGGGCACTGACTATCAACCACCGGTCGCTATCACCGACCTCCCAAAAAATAACCTTGAATAAAACTCAACGCTTACATGCAGACTGATTCCCACTGGCACTAGCAACCTTCGCAAAAACACATTTCCACACCGATCATCCCGCTCAAAAGTACTCAATACTCAGCTAACCACTCCTTAGACTGCCGATGCTACCCGACATTCACCAACGCCATATCTCCACTAATAACCCTCACAATGAAATCCATCGATAGCCCGAAACACCAATCCATAACCATACCAAACCTTCAAGGAACAATGGGTACCAAAACGAAAACCACCCAACGACACTAGGAGATAAACGATATTCCATAATAATCATAAATAAACAAGACAACAAGGAAGAAACATACCCGCAGCTGCATCCGGCACTGCTCTAGCCTCCTCCGTTGCAAGCTGAAAAGCACGACCCTAAGCCCTTGGGGGCTCCGCTCCACTCTGACCTCCACTCGTGATCCTCAACGTGGCCGGTGCTGGAGCCTGCACCGGTCCTGCAGCAAGCTGTGGACAGTTGACCCTCAAGTGTCCAACCTGATGACACTGATAACATATCCTCAAATCCCGAACCGACACTGACTGCCGACAATCCCTCGCATAGTGCCCATCCTTTCTGCACTTGCGGCATGCACCACCGGACTGACAAACTCCGGCGTGACCCCTCCCACACTTTCCACAAGCGTGGCTACCCTGATCTCCCATCCTGGAATCAACAGTCTTAGACCGTTTCTTCGCCGGCTGCGACTGAACCGGAGCTTGCCTCAGCTCACGCAACCGCAACTCAATCTCTAACTCACGCCGCCTGGAGGCCTCCTGCAACTCCAACAAGGTCTTGCACCTCTGCGCGGACACAAACTGTCTGATGTCTCTCTTTAGCATACTCAAATATCGGGACGTCTGAGCCTCCTCCGAAGCGAACTTAGGGCAAAACATCGCCCTCTCAGTAAACATCCTGGTGATTTCCGTCACCGACTCCGTATCCTGCTTCAGCTCAAGGAACTCCTGAGCCAACCTCTCCCTCTCGACCTGCGGAACATAACGAGTGCTGAACATCTCTCTGAACTGATCCCATGAAATTGCAGCCCTCTGCGCATCCGAGTATGACCCCGTGGTCAATCTCCACCAATCCTTTGCTCCGAGCCTTAACAGGTTCAGAGCACACCTCACCCTCTGATCAGCAGGGCTTGAACACGTGAAGAAACACCCTTCCACGTCTGATAACCACCTCATAGCAACGATCGGATCCTGAACTCCATCAAAGGTGGGAGGCTTCGTATTATCGAAGTCCCGATACTGAAAACCTCTACTAGCTCCTCCCCCTGCCGCTGCTACAGCCGCCGCGGCAGCCGTCAGCGTGAGAGCCGCATAGCGCTCATCAAAATACTCCACCATGGCGGTCTTGATCAACCCAAACAGTTCCGACAGCTCGGTCCGGAACAATGCAGCAATCTCATCATGCAGGATCTCATGAATCCTCGCATCCAACTCGTGCGTACTCATCTAACCGATAACCTCGGGCGGTACTGACCCGTCTGGAATTCCCTCTCCTGCACCTGATCCTGACCCGGATCCACTCCCAGCATGCCTCGAAATCTCCATACTGAAAATAAAACACAAAACCTCAGACACTTCCCACTATCCCCAGAACCAACTCTCAACCCAACCCTAGAGGTCATGGTTTCCCTGATACGCGTATGGGTCCTATGCTTTCAGTAGTACGGGCCCATACTAACTTCCACACCTACCCATATTTGTATGAAGTACTACCACAACACCCTAGCGACAAATATACATAGCAAGCGCTCGATCCTCACTCCTAGAGGAACACTGGAAATCTCATCAGAGGAAAACCCTAGGCTAGCAGGCATCATAAAACAGGCAACATTATCATGAAATCCTGAAGATCCCTAACCTAACACTAGCATACTGTTCTATCAAGCTCAATAAAACAAATATCATGAATGGTAATTTGGGGTTACTTACTGGCTCCGGCTGATCGTACCTCCGCGTCCTCCTTTTACTTAATTTGAAAACCATTTTAATTTCTCTTTTTAAAACCCTCCTCGATTTGAGACTGGAGTCACACGAGTGTTCCTCCAATTCACTCAAACCAAGGCTCTGATACCAACATGTAATGACAAAAATTTGAACATAATTTAAACTTTTCAAAACAATCCATTTTAATAACATTATTACAAAAAGGTTTTCAATACATTATTTATCAGAGTATTCCCAGGTCCATTTCATAAAACATAAACGCGAGGAACAGTACGATCACGCCTTTGCCTTGCCACAGTCTCTTGAAGAACCTGAAAAAAACATTAAACCACAACTGTAAGCCCGAAAGCTTAGTGACATACCCCCAAAATACCAACCACATATACGACCTTCCAGGCTACGACCTTCCAGTCCAAAACATATTGCCTTCCGGCCCATAACATATTGCCTTCCGACCCATAGCATAAAAAGCATACATAACATAACATGACATAGAACAGCCATGCATAACGGGTCTACTGTGTGACTGGTCCGCCGTATTGGGCCTTCAGTCCACCGGGTCCATCCTCCGAGTCTAGTCATGTCCTTCGAGTCTACAGTGTGGTTGGTCCGCCCGGACCGGGCCTTCAACCCACCTGGTCCACTCTCTGAGTCTACAGTATGACTGGTCCGCCC